ACATAGATAAATGGAATAGGGTTTTGATGAAAAAAATTACCTGGATAGTTCAGATGGTTTCAAACGTTTCTGGCACGATAATGATATCCTACTGGAGATATTTTCTATACGACACAGTGGAGGAGGTTCCATCATGATCTGGGATGGTATTTATTTCCAAGGAACAATGGAGCTTCAGGTTATACAGGGACGTCAGACTGCAACTATTTACATTTGCATGTTGGCGGGAGCATCCTTATTGACTGAAGTCCCTCGCTTGTGTGGAAATGACTGGATCTTTCAACAGGACAACACTGTAATCCATAATACCCGCAGGACAAAGGATTTTTTCATGGCGAATGTGATTCTTTTGGACCATTCAGCGTGAACACTATCGAAAATGTTTGGGGGTGGATGGTGGAAGTCTGTAGAAATGGACGTCAATTCCGAATAGTGCATAATCTTCGTGAAGCCATCTTCACAACTTGGAAGAACATTCCAGCCAGCCTCCTGCAGACACTTATATTAACAATGCCAAAGAGAATTTTGAAGTTATTCACAATGACAGCCATGGAATTCACTACTAAGATGTCATGTTGGGCAGTTCCTATTCTGTTTGGGATTTATTTTATGCATGCTCTTAAACTTTTGAACAACTAGCATTTAGACTAATTTCCCAGTGTTCAAAATTTCCCAATTAAATGGTAAAAACTTTAAAGATTTTTCCTTTTCTTATTTTCTCAAATGAGTGGTTGAGTCTAACAATGCTAAAAGGTATATTTTTTTTCTTTATTTTCATTGGCCTTAAGATTTCAGCCAGCAGTGTATATATGTTTATAATGGAGTTTATTTCTTCTATTTATTAATTGTCTTTTGCAATCGTGTCGTTTAGCCCAGTCATTGGTCAATTCACGAGGAACTTCCCAACAGCATTTGTTCACAAGGCCAAGCTTATGGAGATGTCCATTGCTGGTACTTTATGAAGGACCAAGTCCTACCGACACGAGTGCTTGTATTTGGCTGTTGTTCAACCATTTCACGCAAGAACTCCTCATTTTTCACAACCGAAGGTCTCTCTGACTTTGGTTTGTCTTTGACGCTGCTGCTGGTGGTGGTGGTGGTGGTGGTGGGGGGGTTCACCTTTCTTGAAATGTCTGACCCAGTTTTGTGCCATACGTTCATTGTGAGTTTCTGAATCTTTCACATCATTAGTCGCACTCAGTCGTTTTTTTCCACAGTTAGGGTAAAATGGCTCTATTTGCAATTTTTCCCCACTCATTAACACTGCTCTAAAACAAGGAATAAACAGTCTTTGTTGCAGTGGGGCACTGGAAAGTTTTCGTCTTGACCAAGAAGGGGAATGAAATGCATTATGCTTACTCTTCTATAGATTAACCTTGCAATCGACACATTTGGTACATCATTTCTAGCGTTTCTTTAACACTTGTAAAAAAAATGATATTTAGTTAGTTTGGTGTCTGCAGTTCATGTTCTTAAATAGCCTCGTCAGATCTAGAAATTCATATAGTTACCATGCATGACGCCTGACTCGTTCAGAAATTGCCAACTGTATACCACCGCTTTCTTAGATCAATGATTAAAAATGGCTCCCAGCGAATGAAACCTGTAGGTCTTAGAGAGGACTATTCTTTTTCGAACCTCATGAACTGGCGTTAAAAAAATAACAAAGAAGTTGACCAATTAATAGAAAATATATCATTCGAGGACTCCCAACAGTAGCAACAATTAAAATGGATAACACATGTAATTTGAAGAGAAAGCAATAACATAATCAAGATGTAGATGTTCCACACTATTTCAAACAAAAGGTTACAAAAGAAGCCTCCATTAATAATGAAAAGAGCGATAATAGTTGGACTTTCTTGAAAAATTGTTTTAATAGAAAGGATTTAAAAATTTCAACCGAAAGTTGCATTTGTTTTTCAATCAATGAATAGCATATAAGAAGATAGTTAATATTACCATTAGAAATAAGGAGAACAGATACTACCTTTTGATCCTAGCCCGATGTCCAGGGCGTGTAGAAATGAGTAACTGGAGTGGCACCGGCTGCTCGGTCAATGAAATGAATGCTGAATGTTTTCTCATTAGAGATGTGGGGGAAGAGATATAACATTTGGTATTTACTCGTTCGCACGCGGTGATATGGCACAAGGCTGATTTAAAGTGAGGAGTCCAATCGCGTGCACCTAGGCCAAGGGAGAGCGGCGCTGTCACGGGGTTGGAATCCACGGGACCTGGCATCCCTTCTTAATTTGTTGTTTTCCGTCCGAATATAGTTTGTCCGCCCGAAGGCAGACACTACACATGCTATTTACTTGTCCTTCCCACGGTGACGGAACATGGCACAAGACCTGTTTAAAGTAGGGAGCTCAAACGCCAAACACAATTTAGAAGTAAAATATAGTTTGCCCACCCGAAGACAGATTGTGTTTACTTGCCGCCACGCCCTGGCAGGATGTGACACAAGGTCAGTTTAATGTAGGGAGCCCGACATCCTGGCCAGCTCCAAAAATACCCCAGCCCAGCAACCGTCAGTTGCGCTGGCATCCGTATTACTACCGATCCTCTCTTTTTTAGGGCAATAAAGGAGGGTACTACAGTGGACAACTGTTCCCCGAGACTGGTCACCTCTCGATAATATTTTTCAGTTGCGCTTTGTTCAAAGAGAGAAACACAATTGAGAGATTAAATATAATTTATCCGCCAGAGGACAGACACTACACTTTGATCCCAATCTGACGGCCAGGGAGTGAAAAAAGCGTAACTCAAGCAAATAGTTAATAGAGGGTTATTGAAAAAGAAAGAGTAAATTTTGAAAATTTAATAAAAAACTAATGCTTATAGACAGAAACACATTCAAGTATTACTGGGTAGGAAAAAGTTCAAATTTTATTATTTTAAGGTTACACTTCACTATATGTAGTACACAAAACGACTTTTCTTGTGGTGTGGCCATTTTATGGGTTGACACAAATTATAACAATGTAAATTTATACAAAATCTGTAAAAGCTACTAAAAAAATATAAGCATCTAAACAAATACTGAAAAAAATTTCATTTATTTTAATAACTTCGAACCTTTTCCTATCTAGCAGTGTTTCCCAACCTTTCTAAAAAATGGCACATGAAAATATCACGGCGCATTAGCAACATTTTTAAATGGTATATGTTTAAATCTTATGAAATAAAACCATAGATTAAAAAAAAAAATACACACACAAATATGAACTTACTTTATGTCAATGTTTCTACTCAACTATTTGTGAAACATCAGACGAACTACAATGGCCACGTGTTCGCAACCAAAGCAGAGTTGGATGACATTAGCTGTAGTCTAACCTGGAGAAGGATGGGCTCCACCAGGTTAAAACGCTCAAGACACACCACATGATTCGCCCACCAAGAAATCATTCGCGGCACATCACCGCGACATATGTAGGAGAATAATAGACAGATCAGCAAGTCGGCGCCCTAACGACTCCTTCCGGGGTTAAGGACGAAAGAAGAAGAATAAGAAGCAACTAGGATAATTTTCTTTAAATTTACCAACATGTGGCCTAAGAGGATTAGATGGAAAATATTTATTTCTTTTAGAGACTTTTCGGTTTGTAATTTAATTGAATTATTGATTCTGATATGAACAGCTCAATTGATTTCGTCTAAATCGCGTCTAGACAAAAACGCCCGCCATTTCACTAACGCTTTGGTAATTGACTAATCAACTTAGTCCTTACCAATGCATAAACAAAACTACATTCTTTCTCTACAAAGTTTAATCGATCGAAAGAGAAATACCCATCTGCCTAATTGATAGATGTGCCAAAAACTTCGCTACGTTAAGTGATTAACCAAATGTGGAAAAAAGAAATGGAAGAAAAAAACAAATGGCGTCATTTATTACGAAAACGTTTTCTTTATAAAGTTGGTTTTGTTGTAATTAACAAAATAAGAACGGCACTTTCAATTGAACGTAATTCTCTTTGCCAAGACTTGAGTCAAGCTGAAATTGTTGTTAATCTAGTAGTTGGTATTTAAAGCCTATCGCTTGTATACATTCTACATATATGCATCGATGACCAAATAAATTCTGAATAGCGGATTTAAACACAAATCTGTCCGTGACTCTCGGAAAATGTATTTCTGCTCAGTTTCGTGTGCTAATGTAAACAAAGCAATTTCCAAAGAAGTGATGGATTTTTATTCATTAATCCGACAGATTTTATTACTCAAAAGTTATTTTTAGTGGATACCAGTACTTGAGTAGAAGCTCCATTTATTTATCAAAAAGTATATTTATTTTCGTCTACCGGCCTGAATATTCGAGAAATCTTATTAAAGAAAATATGCGCGCTCCGTCAGGATTCGAACATGCGTTGAGTCAGAGAAAGTTTTGTGTTTAAAGATTTGTGTTTGATCATCGACGCACTTCGTGGCCGAGAAGTATATTCCACGGGAATAAAATTAACTTTCTGCTATTTCTTATTGTTTACGTGATCTTTGAGTCGTGTACAATCAGGACGTAGGCGATCATGGCTCTCCACAAGCTCCTGCCTGTTGTAGCTCTAACCAACTTTACCATCCCTCTTTATCTCTGCACTCTCACTTAAATTCATTAGGTAGGTTACTCACTGTTCCCTTCTGTCTTTCCTTCCATCAATCTGTCCTGTGAGTATCAAATTTTCCAATTACTCTTTCCTCATAATATATCCCAGACATTTCAACGGTCTCTTTCTGATTTTAAGTATCAGTATCTTGCTAGTTCCCATTTTCTTAAGGATTTTTTTCGTTTCTTATATATTTAGTTCATGGTATTCTCAGCATCTTTCTGTAGAACCAAATTTTTATCGTTTCGAGTCTCTTCTTCAGTTGAGAGGAAATTGTTCAGTATTTCTCGTCGTAGAGATATGACAGTAGCTCAACATATAATAGTCAAGCAATAAATTCTAAAATCTTGTGACCTCTCTAAGCCACTGAGCCAAATATCATTACTTAGAAAGCTTTCTTTTTTCTTTCTCTTTTTCCTTTTCCTTTTTCTTTTTTCTTTCTCTTTTTCCTTTTCCTTTTTCTTTTTTCTATCTTTCTTTTTTTCTTTCTTTTTTCGTTTTTCTCCTTTTCTGTTTTAATTTCGTTCTCTCTTCTTTCCTTTCGTTCTACTTTTTCTTTCTTTCTCTCTTTCTTTTTTCGTTCTTATTCTGTTACTTTCTCTTTTTCTTTCCTTCTTTCTTTTTCCTTTTTATTTCTCGCTTTCTTTATTTATTTCTCCTTTTTTCTTTTTCCTTTTCCTTTTTTCTTTCTTTCTTCTTATTTCTTTCTTTCTTTCTTTCTTCGCTTTTCTTTGTCGCGTCATTTCTTTCTTTCTCCTGTTTGTATTTTCTTTCTTTCTTTTTATAACGTTCTTTCTTTCTTTCTTTCTTTCTTTTTCCGTTTTTATTTCTCTTTTCCTTTTTCATTTCTTTCTTTCTTTCTTTCTTTCTTTCTTTCTTTCTCCATTTTCCTTTTTTTCTTTCTTTCTCTCTTTCATTTTTCTTTCTTTCATTCTTTCTTTCTTTTTCCTTTTTCTTTCTCTCTTTCTTTCTTAATTTAATGTTCTTGTCGGGTAACAAAGATAATGATACAGATGAGAGTATTGCTTTCGCATCGTAATGAATGTCAAGTTTACATGCCATTTGGGCTGATTTTACTGCGAGAATTTCGAAGCCATCCGATGATTACTGGAACTCATTTCCGCTTCTTGCTGTCATGTTAATGTCTTCTAGCGGAAATGTCGTAGCAGATTTCGTGAAATGGTGACACAAGTTAGTAAGTAACACAAGTAAGTAAATAAAACACAGCGAATTTAGAAATTAGTCAAAAATAGAAAAAGGAATAAAAACAACCATTTTCTTCACATTCGTACATGATGGTTGTCTACTCGTTGGGCGAGTATTTGCCTCGCCAGAACATGTAGGCTCCCTGTGGAGTACAGGGCCACAGATACACCAAACTAGGTGATGCTGACCTGGTTGTCTTCTCTGTCGTGTATAGTGAAACTACCAAACGACGCTAGGTGTTGCTGCTGTGGTTTCAGTAAAAAAGTAGGTTTTTACGAGGTGTAGTTCCTAGCACCACAACCAATTGGTTTTGTATTCACAGTTGTTCTTCTACGAGATTGGTTGTCAATCAAGGATAAAGGGTTCAGTCTATTGTGTTATTTATTTTCAGCATTTTTCTTGGTGTAGTAACGTTTAATACATTTAAAATTATTGTGGTGATATTTTTACCCCCTGTAGGCTCCTCTGATAGAGTAGAGTATCGAAGTTAGGAGGGGCTCTTGTGGTTTCCATTACAAGTTGGCTTTTAAGGAGTTGAGTTGCTAGCCCCAAGAACAACTGCTTTTGAATTCAGATTTAGACTGGTTGCCAATCACTCAGAAGTCAGTTCTGTCTTGTTATTTAACCCATAGCTAGAGGAACTGACAGTAATACTGTGCCGAATTATAGTAGAATACGTTTTGCATAACATCGCGGCGGCTCACACTAACAACAACAAATATTCCAGAGGTAGTCAGGAGAGATATCCGTTTTGACACTGAAGGCGAATATTACATACATGTTTTCATTCTCCTATATATATCTTAAGAAAGGTTAAAGGGTCTATCGCTCCCAATGGGCTTACCGTGCGCCTGGACGTTAACCGCGTTACATACATGGCCGGCTATTCGTTTCTGAGCATACTCGTCTGCTAGGAGGCGATACACTCAATACCTGTTTGCAGAGACCTGCTCAGGCATATTTGTGTTTGTTCACATCTCTGGTTTATACTACAACTATGCGTGACCATCAGTTCGAACAATGCCAGTACACTCATAACTTCGGCCACAGTGACTTTTGACATTTTGCTAGCAAAACCATCGACGGCTTTCGTAGAGTACCATATACACAATTTTACTCACAAGTTTTTGATCGATTAGTGGTATGATTTTCAGGCACATTTCAACGGTGCTGCGTGTTGGGATCGCTTCCCCAGGCCGATGACATCAAGATAATAGCTCATGGTCGAAATTGAACCCAGGTTTCATACTCGGAAAGCCAACACTAGACAATGGTAATAGATATTCTAGTCGTTTCTTTACAATTTGGCATTCATTGACCGAGCAGACTGCACTGCTGCCAGTTGAAATTTGTAAAACCTTTCTCTTAAAACAATTTTTCAGGAAAATAGGTATTTTTTTTCAATCCAGTAGCTGTTATCGCACGTTCCCGTATTGGTGGTGGTGGTTGGTGTTTTCTTCCTAACCTTCTGTTTGAAGTAGTATAGAATGTCAACATCAGGACTATGTCATTGTTTTTTCTTCGAGTAACATGTGGTATCCATTTTAGTTGTTGCGGCTATTGGAAGCCCAAAGTGATGTGGTTTGTTATTAGGTACATTTCTTTGTGATTTTGTAGTGTCAGTTCACAATGTTAAAAAAGGATGATCTTTGCCACCCCCCCCTCGGCGTCACTCGCTCAAAGCCTTTTTTAAATATTGATCTTAGAAATCGGTTGTATAATACTGGCCGTTTAGGTATTTCTGAACTGGTTTGATGTCATGCATGACATCCACATGAAAGTCTCCACATGAAGAGTTTATTTAAGAACATGATTCGAGTTTTTAGGTTAAAGGTTTGGTTTTGTAGAAATTTGTGATGTTTGGCGAAACTACCTCTGGCGCAGCCTAATCTATGTTCAAGTTCCTTTTCTCCTCTGCTAAATTTGTTATAGCTTATCCATACGCAGAGGTGTTTCAAATGTTCCATATCCAGAATTTTTATGATGGACTTAGGCTCGGTGCCATCACTGCTTTCATTCCAATTCCAGATCATAGTTTCTGCTTTGAAAATATTTTTTAAGTCCTATTTCTTGGAATATTTGGAAGAGGATGTTCAATGTTTCTATTCAAGAACATTCTTATCCTAACTATGAACACCATCAGTATAGCCCCCCTCCCGCCATCATCACCAGTACATTGGCCGCAGGAGAGACATGGTAAGCTGACCGAAAAGTAATATAGGATTTAAATCTTCGTCTCCTGCTTATACAGGATGCAGCAAAAGTAACGCACTTTTTTTTTGAGCTGAGGTAGATAGAACAACGTATAGCAAATGAGTGGCCATCGCGATCTAACACCACCAGACGTTTTGTGAGGGGTACTAAAAGATCTTGTTTACAGGCTCAAACCGATAACAATTCCTGAATTAAAACGTAATTTTTTTTAATCAAGTAAGGCGATAACGCCACTAAGACGCATGGGAGGGCACTAAAGATGAAAGAGAAGGAAATACTTTAGAAGGAACCAGAAATCCAATAATCGTATAAATTTCAGAGTTTAGGCGGAGACGTTAGAAATATAGTTTAGAACTAGAATTTAGAAGGAACCGGAAACACAATCCTAAACAGGAAACAACCTCTATTTATATTCAAAAGACCAGGGTGGAGTGAATTCTGATAAGTGTTCTGAAATTAATGTAGAAATGTGCCAAATGCTTTGTAGAAGTGTTGATGATAGGGTTCAACATTGTATTGAATATGAAGGAGAGCATTTTGACCGCGCTAATTTGTTAATCATAACAAATCATGTTCTTTTGATATGACAAAAAATTTTCTTAAACTACTGTAATTTATTTTTGTTCAATAAAATTTGATAAATGAAAAATGAGTCAAATACCAATATATATATATATATAGCGGCTATATACACCCAGCCCCCACGAAACATCCTAAACCAAGCAGTCTACACTCGCGTCATTGAAGATTTTAACTAAAAAGTAGGACGAAGTATTTATAATACATTAATCTCTTTAGACTATTACTAAGTGTCTAAGTAACCACGTTTGCTTAATGCATCCCGTCCTGGGTATGACGATAAACTACATCCGGCAGCAAGGCATTTGATCGGGAGGTTTTGAGGAACCACCTTTTAATTGCTGTTGTTTCGGGCAAATAGTTAACTCCCAAACAGGGGTCAAAATACGATGAAAGTATAAAAATTACTAATGCTACCAAGAAAATTAAATTTCGGTATTAAATGACCCTTAAGGAGTTGATATGCCATAAAACAAACCAAACCAAAACTTAATACATCTGGCAGAGGATGAACGCATTCTTTATGCTGTATAGATTAAGTTCGTGTATTGTCCATTAAATGTTAACTTACGATATGCTCTGAGACAGTTATCACATCCAGGAAAGTTAGTTTATGGTCTGTTTTCTTTTTCTCTCTTTTCCTCTTTCTCCTGTGAAATATATTGAAGAACTTATTGGGTTCTCATGGTCCAACAAGATTTGCGAAACTTCCTGCTTAGGCCAATGTTGTTATTAAAGTCATTTTCTTGTGGATTAAATAAATGGTTCCGTTTGAAATTCTCTGAAGGTCATCAAATACGAGAGACACAGTGAGAAGGCTGGGGGGACACAATAGCTCAGACATCGTGACTGCAACCACCAAGATGAGGACAAGATGAGTTTGAATAAATTAATATTTCCCTACTTTTACAACTACTATTCATTTAAATTCTACTACTACTACTATTACTACTACTACTTCTTCTTCTGCTTCTTCTACTACTACTACTACTACTACTACTACTACTAATAATAATAATAATGAAGAAGAAGAGAAGAAGAAGAAGAAGAAGAAGAAGAAGAAGAAATAAAAGATAAACTTTATTTCTTTATGTGAAAGTCTTCCATTCACTCTCTTTCATCATATCCTTTCATGCGTGGGCGATCATGGCTCTCCACACCTTCGTCGATTTGCTACTTTTAGTAATATTCATTTATCTTTGTTTGAATTCCTATGTTGAGGAGTTATCATGATTTATATTATTTACAGACGAACTAATTTACTTTATTGTTATTATCACAAAGTTTCGGCTGTTGTTTCTCCTGGCCTTCGTCAGTTCTTACGATCTGGCTAAGCTTCAGGGAATTTTGAACTGATCCCCTTATTTAATATACAGTGTAGACTGTTTTAATTCCTCTGTTCACGTCTAAGGATATTTTGTCTTGTTTTGTTTGCACTGCTCAGTTATTACTCATCCTGTTTCTACTGAGTTTGTACCCGGCCTAGTGATTGAACTATTAATTACCATGCAACCCAATTTTTTGAACCAAAATTTTAACCCCCTGAGACAAAGTTGAATCTGAGACTTGAAGCCTGAAACCTAATGTTCTTAGAGACACAAATACTGCCGTTACTGCTGCCTTTACTGCTGCCTTACTGCTAAGAGATCAGCTCCTTCTTCCGTTGTTTCTGGTTCTTACTGTTGTTGCATAAGACATGCTGTCAAGCTTGACCCTCTCAAGCCCCGTGGAAAGAAATAAAAATGCTAGACCATGTATGGGCAACCTTTTTCGAACAGTCGGCCACATGAGCACAGTTTATCATAAGGTCGCCTGCATTACTAAAAAATCAAGGTAATTTTTCATTAAAGATACCGCAGACATTTTCACAATAAAAGACCATGTACATAAGTATCTGCCTTAGAAATGGGAAAAGGATTTTTTTTCTTTGGAGAAATGATTCCTTGTATAAAAAACAAAATGAAGTCTTCGTATAATATTA